ATGTCATTTTTAATGTTCCAACTGTAGCAAGAATCTGAGTGAATCCGGATTATTTTATGTTTTTGCTTTGTCAGAGACATCTTCACATCTGTGTGTGGTAGACATTTACAGTATCTGGTCCCTAACAGGTCTCACCTGTCAGGTTTCCTTATTTTTATGCTACTCTTACATCTATCACACTTTTCATTCATCCTTTATTTTCTTTAACACTCGTTTTCTCCATCCCTTTTCAGGAAGTGAGAGTTCACTATTAGGAGCCAGGCAGTCTGAGGCCTGGCGCCAGGTTGGACCTTGTATTTTGGTGAGAGTATCAGATCTATTTGCATTCAGAGCCCCAGAGGAGCTGTAACCTTCCAAACTCACACCTGCATCCAGCAGCGCTCTGCTCCAGCAGCGCTGCCCTGTCATGTATGTGTTGCTGCTCACATTCATCACAGCATCCAGATGTGATTTTACACGAAGCGTAGCCACATCCAAGGAAGGGCGGGGAGCAGATGAAGTTCACCAGAATGGATTTCTGAACAATCAGCACACACCTAGGCCCCTTTGTTCATTCCACAGATGAGATTTTGGATCCTCAGCCACTAATGAAAGGAAAGGTCAGGACAATTGTGTTTTTGAAACCAAACAATGAAAGCGATCAAACTTCCACATATTCTCATTTTTTTTAAATGGCCCAGATGTGCAAAGAATGACGGATCAGGATGAATCATGCTCATATGTCTGCTTTGGGAAGAAGACAGTCCAAATCTCAGCTCGTTTTATTTTATTTGATTTAACAGGAAGGAAGTAGAGGCTCTGCCAGAGGACTTGGTCCCTTGGTGCATGAGTTTCTGGGGACTGAGGAGCTCGGCAGTCACGCCTGTTTACTCTTCAGCCTCCTTCAGCAGCAGACCCGTTGCTATGACCTCACACGCTTCAGTGCCAAGAAAAACGCCTTTGGGTGTTGCAGAGTGGCTAAAAGTATATGTTGCTGAAAGGGTGGGGCTTTGTACCACTGTTTTATCCTTCCTGTCATAAACTATCCAGCTCTCCTCTGCAAAACCATGGTCTTGGTCCACTTCAGATGTGTTTAACAACCTTTCTGGGTCACACATGGCGTGCTACTCCTGAAGATGCAGGACTGTCACTGACCTGCGTGGCTTTAATTACAGATGACAAATCACAAGCCACGTTTTGTCTGGTCAGTGCCTCACAGCTTCAGAACAAAAACAGTAGGCACTCGAACGTGAGCGTTCACCATGACCTTTGGTCTCAAAATGAGTAAAAGATGAAAAACAAAATCAGAAATGCACCAGTTTCCTGTCTTTGCTCTTCTTTCTGAGCTTCTTTCTATAGTTTTTCAGTTATGCACAGCTGTCTGGTCACCCATAACAAATCGTAATGCAGGATGATCCACAGTGCTGGTAATCTTCTGCTGCTGATCTGGCTTCAGGCGCAGGGTGGGCACTCATCAAGCTTCAACTGCAGAACTCTTGCCAGAGCAGAGAAGATTACCAAGAGCCAGAGGAAACTGCATGCTCCAGCAGCTCTGAGTCAGCCTTCTGCCACCAGACTTTAACTCAGCCTCCGGTTGTTAGGAACCAGATACATCCACATGAAGACTTCTCCTCCAGCACCTACAGGATTCTTGCTGCCATGGTAACAAAAGAAGAACATTTTCACAACTCTTGTTAGTAAAGTCCATATGTAGGTCTGGGGTCAGTGACAGCGTGACAGAGCCATTATTTCTCTTATCTTCATCCATCCACACTTAGAGGCAGCTCCTTGAGCACGCTCAGCCACCTGAGTAAACACCCTGCACAGCCACGCAGAGGGACGATGAAGACCATCTGCAGGCTTCTCCCAGAATTATCACAGAAGCAGAACCTGCTGTGTCCCAGGAGCCAGGACCTCCGTGAACCGCAGCAGATCTGACAAGACGGTCATTGTGCACGATGAGAAGGCCCCGTGGAGGTTTCCATGACACGTGTCAAGACATCTTTTCCCCATGCGAAGGATTAACCAAGCATATTTTGCATTTTTGAGATTAATTCTGAATTTATGAGTTTATCTGGAATTTATTGCAGCAGAACCACAGCTCATTAAGTCGTGCATGACTTTACCAAAGCTGCTCAGTATTGTCCATCAGAATATTTTGTAGTTGGCACATTCAGCATCCTCTGATAATGGAGGCTAATTGCTGCAGTGACAAACCTGACATGTGAATAAATAATCAGCATCTGCACAAAGACAGCTGAGTTCAGTCAACAGCAGATGAAGATTTCCAAATAATCACGTAGGAATCTTTTCTTTTCTCTTGTAAAATCAGATTTTTAGTGATTTTTAATGAACAGAGCAGTAAAATCTGAACATTCAAACTAGTTTTACACTTTAGGAGAATTGGAAGTTCACAGACCTCCTCAGTTTCTGCTGAAAAGATAAAATGTCGGATTTCAGATTTTAGCCCAAGTAGTCATCCTGCTGAGGGCCTGTGAAGCCAGAGTGGAGAAGGCCTAAT